CAAATTCAGTCACTTGTGTTGGAGAAAAGGCGTTCAGCAACTGCAACCGTCTTGTTGAAGTGAGTGCACCAAACTCGATCTATTCCAACAGTGGTGTTTTTAAGAAGTGTCATTCACTCACAAAAGTTGTTATTACAAACCAGTTAAATACGTGTGACACATACAATAACACTTTTTCATGTTGTGAGTCGCTTTCAAAATCGTCATCCCTAAAAGTGTCACAACACTCACAGAAAAGTCGTTTTATAGAATGACGTCCCTGAAAGACGTGGTGATTCCTGGCAACGTGCTTTCACTTGGCAACAGTGCTTTCAGAGATTGTTATTCACTTACCACCGTTGTATTTGGCAAGCACGTCGAAACAATCGGGACACACTGTTTCTCAAACTGTGTTAATTTGGAACAAATTAACTTGCCAAAGTCTCTCAAATCAATCAAGAAATGTGCATTTGAAAACTGCAAAAAACTGAAAACCCTAAAATTTGCAGGGCGTATTCCTCAAATCGAGAAATGTGTTTTTGAAAAATGTGAAAATGTAAGGGAAATCAGTACAAATGGAATTATCACAAAAATTGTCGACTTTCCAGTCACTTTCAAAGTCTCGGAAAACTTCAGAAAGAATGGCATTGGTTGTAAAAATGTAGTTTTTACACAGAAAGATCTCAAAAAGTAAACTTTTTCATAAATAAGTTAGAATTATTGATTTATATAAAAGTACTCGTTAAAATCGAGCATTGATTATGGTCTTAATATGTAATATATTATAACATATGAATATAAATTTAATTATTAAAAGCAATTCAAAAAATCAAACACACTGTAAAACAAATAAGAAAGTTATTGAATCAGTCGAGATAACTATAAACAATTACACTAATCATAGTTATTAAAAACATTTTAATGTGTTAGCAAACATAGTTAAGTATAATTTAAATTTATATGATTGTATAATCATAACATTTCGAATTCAATTAATTATAAATACAGTTTAAATATTCAGTTTGTGTATAAATGATCTTTTTTGTTTTTTATAATACAAACATTAATAAAGAACAAACCAAAAAATAACAAAGGTCCAGTCTTTATCAAGTGGGTCCAAGTTCCATTGGCCATAATCAAGCGGAGGTTCTTTAAAAAACACTCTTGAAAGGTTTGGCAATATTTTTTTTCGTTAAATTCGTTTTTATGGTTATTATTATTTGGTTAATAGCTAAGAATAGTATAGTACTAAAAATTGAGTAATCCATAATTTTTTTTAAATAAATTTACATCTTCAAAGGTAATAAAATATGATAAAAACCCATTACGACGTTATTCTGAACAATTACAATATAAAATTGGACAATAACAAGTGTTGTAAAACAAAAAGAATAACAAAATATATAAAAAAACAAAATAATATATTTGTTTATAACTATACAAAACATGATCATAACAAGTCGCGTCTCGTGTAAAACCGTAAGGAGTGACATCGAAGAACAAGTTTCTACAACACGTTCGTGGAGTCGGCTTACATTATTTATCCATAAATTTTGTTTCTAAATATAAAATATTTTTTGAGTAATTTTGACCAATCAATTGATGACTTGAAAAGTTTAAAAAAACTATAAGGGTTTAGTACTGATTTTTATTATGTAAAGTCATTCCGAATAAGTGTGCAACTTTTTTCTTTGTTTTTTACTCACAACTATACCTAGGGACCGATCGCTAAAATCACATATTTTTTAGTCATCAAAAATAAGAAAACTTTTTTGCCATTATTTTTTTTATTTCCAAGGTTTTGTTTCAAAAAGATAATTTTGTCTTAATTAGTAAACGTGGAGACATTATTTTAAGTTCCGCTTATTTTAATTTATTTAGTTTAAAAATGTTGTTTTTAAGTTCTTTTTAACATAAAAAAAACAAAAAATCGAATTAAATTTTTAGTCTCAAAAAAATAAAAAATCAAAATTTAGTTAAAAAGAAGATTATTGTCATCGTAAAAAAATTTCAAATCAAAAATGGCCAAATTTTTTTAATGGTTAAATGAGTTTAGTGGCAGTAATAAAATTCATTTTAATAATTACAAAAAAATATAAAAATAATTATAAACATTATTTATAAAAAACAACAAACGATATTATTTATTTAACCTTACGATTCTTTTTTTTCTTTTATAAAACATTTTTTGGAAAAAAAATGTTTTGTTGATGAAAACGCCAATACTGTTCGTGTTTTAATTAAAACATTTCCAAAAATTAAAGAAAAAAGGAAAACCTATAAATTATTGTTTGCACGATTGGTTTGTTTACTGTTTGCATTTCAAAAGAGCCGCCACTAGGTAAGTATTTTTGTATATCATATCAAGTTCAAAAAAAATAAAATTTGTGTTTTATTTTAAACAGTAACAGTATCGTAAGGTTAATAAGTTATTTGTATTATTATATAATATAAAAAATAAATAATTATAATTTAAAAATGAAAATGTTATTATTTTTATTAAAAACAAATACATTCACAAAATAAATTACTTATTAACTTGATATTTTAAATAAATATATATATTAAAAAATACTATTATCTAAACAAATAAAACATTTGTTTTTATAATTTATTTAAACAATAAATACTAAAATATGAAACTATATAATATTTTTTTGTGTTTGGATCTACAATATATAATGATTCGTTCATTTATTTGGAATTACATGAAAATTGTATATTTGCCATGCCAAGAACACGCCGAGTGTCTTCCTGGTGATACCGATCAAAGGGAGAACCCACATGTGTAGGTTGTTTTTTTTTATAAAATGTTTTCTCTGTAACAAAATGTTAAATTATAACATGGTCACACAGTCTACTTCATCTGCAAAAAATCATTTAATTAGTTTACATTACGACAAATTAAAAGATGAAGAAAAAAGGAGAAAACTGTTTCCAAAAATGTCACAAAGAAATAAAGAGGTTAACATAATGTTGATGAGATTTTTTTCATCTGTTGGAATTCCTTTTAGTCAAATTCGAAATCCATTTTTAGTTGAGTTACTGATTTTTCTCGATAAGTCAGTTGTATTGTCAGACGAAAAAACATTTAGAACAACTTGTCTTTTTGAATTGTACGATAGAGAACTAGGAGATCTCAAAAAAAGAATTATAGAAGATGTCGTTTTCAATAATCTATCAGGATCTATTTCAACAGATATCATGAGTAAATATAATAATTCTTATATAACAACAACTCTCCACTATATCGATAAACAATTTGAGTCGCACAACGAAGTTTTGAATGTGAGTCCTTTTAATGTAGAACATACAGGAAAGGAAATTAAAACATATGTGAGTCAAATTGTTACCGATTTAAATTTGAATGTTAAAAACATACAATTTGTTGCTGATTCGGCATCAAATAACAATAAATTGTCTGAAATTAATGGAAACAAAACTGACTGTGTTTTACACAAGTCGAATAATTTGTTTTCTGCTGTGATAAAACAAATACCAGGGATGAAAGCCTTCGTGAAAAGTATTAATTCTTTGGCCAAAACACTCCAATTTTCTCAAAAAAACACAAAGAATTTTTGAAGAGTTGTGTTCAAAAAATTGTGAAGAGCCTGGATGTCTTGTGACTTATACGAAAACGCGGTTTAATTCATGTTACCTTTCTTTTAGCAAATTGTTAAAAAGAGAGAAGAGTGTTAAAGAACTGAACAATGGGATTCAATTCAATGAAGAGGGGTGAAAGGGGTCAAAGAAATGTATTCACTCACAAAAAGCAATGGACGATCTTTACAACAAATTGGTGGCGAACCAAAAAATTACATCGTGTTATGTTGTGGGAGCTATTAGAGACATTTGGAACACAATTTCCTCTTCTATTTACCAACTGGAAGGTTTTCTAAAAATATATTAAAACATAGTGAAATAGATGAAGATTATGCAGAAGAATCGGAAAGTGGTTTTATGGAAATTGAAGCTGGGACTATTTTTGGAAAGGACTGGAAAATGATAGCTCGATCTGAATTCGAAAAAAGACTGCGCGCTATTTCTCAAAAAGAAGAATATATTTTAGCAGCTTTCTTTTTTTATTACTCGTGATGGTGATTTGTTTGAAACACAAATCAATACCTGTGTTCAAAGAGTGAAGGCTGAATTGAGTGGCATAAATAATATAACACCACAAAGTAGTTCCGCTTTTTTAGATTCGAGTTCAATTTTTCATATTGAATTTGCCAATTGGGCAATTCCAATGATGACAACTGATGCAGTACAAAGACGAGAGGAATCACCAAATGATAAAGCAATTAGATTGTATTTAGAAGATCGGGGTGCGATAGAAAACGGAGAAAACTGTAAAAGTCCCGAAGAATATTGGCAAAACTGTATTAAACTAAACAAACACGCCGATTTATATGATATTGCCAGGAAGTATCTCTCTTTTCAACCAACAAGCATAGACTCCGAAAGAGTTTTTCGAAATGTCGGTAAAATAGTCTATAATGAAACTTCGTCATTTACCCCAGAAAACGCCTCGAAAGTGTCTTTTTTGAGACTACAGATAAACAAACAACACCAATAATAAACAGATTAAATGGTTTGGAGTCAAGTATGGTTGATTATTCTTCATAGATCTCAATGGTTGTGACCTTAGTGAGATAAAACATTGGATGATCTCTTTGATGAGCACCAACTCAACACTATACACGAGAAACTCCAACATCAAAGACGCTGTTCGAACAGACTTGACTGTGTTACATTTTCTTTTTGCAGCACTTCCATGTAGAGTTTTGAAGAGTTATAAAAATACAGTACGGTTTGATATCAGCGCTTGGGAATACCAAGAGAATCTGCAACAGTTGAGTCACTAATGATGTCACAAAAATAGACCCAATGATTACATCAAACCGATGGTTTTTAATTGTTGTTGCACAAAATGCATCCATGTAATATGTCTCGGCTCAAACGTGGCATAATTTTATACAAACACAATATACAAATCATTGAATTGTATATTATGCCCCATATGATTGGCGTTGAATAATTACAATAAATGTGTTACAAAAACGATTTCATTGAGCATTAAAAGAGCAATAAACTGCGAATCCAATCGAATGGTATTCAAGACCGAAGGAAATTGCATTGACTTTCCAGTCGACGAATTCAAAGTGTAACAGAGTGTCAGTATGAAGTGTTCCAATCTGTTTTATTGGTGTTATTCATGTGACCACATACCGAATTCAACAATTGATATTGATGTTTTGGTGTTTTCTGGCTGCCAGAGTGGCATGGAGTTTGAGTCTCGAAAAACAAAGAAATGATTGACAACAACAAATTTGATAGATAAGGAGGGATACAGAATCGAGTGTACTACAAGTTGTTCGACTTGTACAACAAGAACAATAATCAACACACAAAATCATTTGAGTATAGGGATCATTTAGATTCAACACTGTCATATGAGAACCACAAATACTGTCAGAAGTACCAAATTGGTTTGGATGTATGGCATGTTTCAATTCAATCAACTTAAATGGTGTTTGTTCAATGGTTGAAACGAACACAAAAATGTTCCTTTTGTTTAGATAGTTACAACACAATTAAATGCGAAAAATACCTTAAACGTTTACAAACAAAAACATATACAACTTTATGGAGTGATGATGTTGGACGTGAGGCATTATTAAAAGGACTATGTATAAAATGTTATTCGAAATACTTTTTGAACAAAATATATCCACAACAATGCGAGTTGTGTGGAGATAATTATCTGACTTGCACAACACCGACTACGTGTTATATATTCTCAAATGGGTTTTCTCTTGTTAATGGAAGTTGTGTTTCACTATCAAATTGTTTTGTGTCAACGCCAAGTGGATGTACTGTGTGTAATAAAGGTTATTATCTAATTCTCGGCTCATGCAAAATGTTAAGTGAAATCCACTACAAATCTGTTGTTATGATAACAAATATTTGAGGTGCAATGTATGTTATGTAAAGACAACTATATTTTAAGTGACACACAATGTGTTGACATGTCTACCGCGCGTTGCCAAAGTGTCGACTTATCAACTTCAAAATGTGCAATTTGTGAAGAATAGTTCAAATTTGATGACAAAAAATGTGTTTCAATGGAAACGACGCTATGCTCGTATACATCATCAGGCAATTGCCTTCATTATGATTTACAAATCTCACTTAGAACTTCCAATGAGGGTGTATTGGTTTGCAATACAGAAGTGAAGACTGTGTACTGCAAAGAAAACAGCAATACGGGGTGAACCAAGTGTTATGACGGGTATTATCTAATTGGTACTGAATGTCTTCCATGTGATAGGAAGTGCTCAAGTTGTGTTGGCAACGTTTCAACACATGCAAAGTGTAACGTGAAAGGTGGGTATTACCAATATGTCGAATTTACAACAATAAAAGACAAGAAGTGTGTCATCAATACAACACTTGACACTGTAAATTGGTTTCAGAATATGGGTGTGCTGTGTGTCTCGATGGTATTATCAAAACAAATATTAAAAATGCCCAAAGTGTGTTAAATTGCGTGCGACTTGTTCAGACAATAACACGTGCTCTTTATGTATTAATCTATATGTTTTGATATCAAAATAGTTGCAATGTGTGAAATGTAATTCAATTGCAATAATAAATAGTATGATCCAAAAACAAGACAATGCAGTGAGTACAGTGTAAGCAACAAATTTGGACCAAATGGAGACGAGTGTGTTCACACGACAAATGTACTCTCAATTATACTTCCAATCATTTTTGATATTTTTAAAGTTGTTATTATAACAATAAGTTGTATACTTTTTACATATTCATTACAGAAAAGAAGAGAAGTTGAGGAAGTCACTTGTCAACGATTTTTTGTTGAAAGATTTAAAAAAGAAAGAAGTTTATATCATATATATTGGCACTCAAAAACGCATTTTGAAGGCGAAATTGCAGTTCAGAAAGACGGCGAATGCAAATTTATGATTGGCAACGACAGAACGTCTTTATTGAAAATTCAATTCACAACACAAAATGACAAGGAAAAGTTTGAGTTGAATGTTAAACCTTCCATACCAGTGAGTATCAAGAAAGGTCGTGCTGTTGAATTTACTGTTGCTGTTTATCCGCTGTGTACACTTGAGAAGACTATTGACATCACTTGTTCGGTCTTGAACATCAACAAAGGCAAAATATCAGAAATAAAAATCCCAGTAAAATTTGCGTCAGAAATGTCGACAGCACTTGACCCAGACGAGTTGAAAAAAGTTCGAAAACTCAGAGAAGGAAGCTTTGGGATTGTGTTCAAAGGAACATATCGAGGAAATGTTGTTGCCATCAAAGAGATGAAGAAAATGGTTGTCGCCATTTAAAAAGCAAAAAGTTTTACAAAGAATTTGATTGTTGAAAGTTCAAGTCGAATTAACTGTGTCTATCAACCAGGTAATTATACTATTATGTATTGTATTTTGAATTATTATTAATATACTTTTTAACAATAATTTAACTATTAATTATAATTAATAAAACAAGCTGTTTAAATTATTTTTACAATACATCACAACTTGTTCGAAATGTATTTTATAAATTGGTTTGAAAACAATAATTTTGGTTTTTCTTTTTTGAAAATTTTGACATGTCTCTTTTTTTTCCTTAATGTTCATAATAATTTTTTTGAGACAGTTTTGTGTTTTATATTCTAAACAAAGACATTTTTAGGTTTTGTTTCTTTCGGTTCTTTAACACTTTCACAACCCAAAACTTTTTTTAAGAAGAAAAATAAGTAAAAAGGAAATTGTCCAAATCATTTTTTATTATTTTTTATTCCAAAACCCCTTTCTAACCCAAACCGGCCAATAGTCAGTTTTATTTTACTTAAAATAATTAACAAATGAGAACTCAATTACCTAAGATTGATCAAAAATAATCTTTTTGGATGAAATTTCATATCGCTTTATTGTGTTACAACATTAAAACAAAAAACGCCACATCGTCAATCCACTTAATAACAAACAACGTCAAA